TCTAGGTTCCATCATGCATGCCTAATTGTAGCTGAGTTAGTTAGTCGACTTCTGAATCGCAGAAGAGAGACAACGTTTATGAAGACCCCCCCCCCACCCCCTTCCCCCATTACGGATCAAGACGCCAAATAGACATAGCTTGTCGCGGTTGTCCCGAGTATACGTCTCCACCTTTCTTTTTTTTTTTTACCTTCTCCGGTGTGATTTTGTTTTGATCTTTATTCAATAAAACCAAAATCGACTTCACTTTCGAATAGCTTGAAACACTTGTAGCTTGTCAAGATTCTTCATCCGACCCAGGTTCCCCCGGACCTGCTTCGGGTGCTTACACAAAAGAGAGGTCAATCTGCTGAAGCCTGGTATCCCAGCTTTCTCTCTTCATCATCGCTGAAGACTAAATTGACCTCTTTGTCGATTTTCTGTTGTGCATTCTTGAAATGCTGAAGAGTACTATCACCGCTGATGGACTTGATTGTTGAGAGATAGACTTTCTTCTCGTTCTCGGTAGCGCTGACTTCGGTGTAACTTGTGAAGGTGGCGATGCCACTAAAACTAGAGCAAGGCTGATTCGCATGAGTAAGTTATTTGACTGGTCTGTCTGCAAGATAAGTGCCAACAGTTGGCTCTGGTTGTCTTCAAGATGTCAGTTAATAATTGACGGTTACCTGGTGTAAGTAAACGATCTGTACGTATAGCTAGGATGAATGAAGATGAAGATAGCCTCGGTGTGCTGGCCGAATGGATTAGTCCCCTACAATGTACGCTACATATGATGGGATTGTGTTTGTAATCTACAACCCCTGACTCTCCATGGCATGGCTCAGAAAATGTCGGACATGTGGTGTGCATGTGGCATACGACTGTTAATAACGAACATTTTACCATATAAATTGATAGTACATGAATACTGCTCGTTATTAACAGAAAAATGAAACTGGATTGTCCATCAAGCTTCTTTTTTTTTCCTACTCTTATGGGGTCTATTGTACAGCAGTTCAATATTACATACGGCTTAAACGTCGAAAGGTTTTGGGTCATATATGGATACGACTTTATCGATTATATGAGGGTATAAGGGGGTAGTCACTACCCGGTAGTGTGAAGCACACACGGTTATCAAAAGATACACTTGGTACGATAGTTAGAAGAAACTCACTCCAACTTCACTAGTATTTTTTTTTTATAATTCTCGAACTCGTTTCACGCTGATCCTTAGTAGTATTTTCGAGAGAAGCAACGGCATTTCGTTTCGAACATGTTCATTCATATGCTTGTTTCGACGCAACGATGTCTCTGACCATTGGTTCGTGATGAAGGTTTTTACACCTATTTGTTGGAACGGTAAGAGCGCTATTGAGGCTTTTACGCTCTCATTGGCTGAGCAACTGCGCTTCGAAGGATATCCTCGAGATGAGAACGTTGTGGCTGAGGGGAGTATCGTCCGCGCCATGTACTTCGTCACAAAAGGACACTTAAACATGCAGAGTAATTCTCTACTGGATCGTCCGGTTGGCCTGGGCGCTGGAAGTTACTTCGGAGAGCGTGGATTACTTGGATTTTCTATCAGTGCGTATACCGTTCGAACGGTACGTGCGTGCGACTTGTTTTCTCTGAGCTCCGAGGCGTTTATCAAGGTGCTTAAACAGCATGAGTTCTCTCGTTTCGCACTGGATATTTGCTCCCGTTCGTACAAACAGATTAAAGAGAAACACGTTGTGGCGTGCTCAGAACACGAGATGGAAGAGCACTGGGGCGCTGCATTGCTTCTTATCGTTCAAGAGATTTGCAGACACCAACCAGTGACTGCAAGTGGTGAAGAATCT